TCATAAATGTTCCTATTAATTGCTTTTATTAAAAGAACAAATGTCACTCATTTTTAACCATTTTAGTCAATGACTTTGCACACTTTTGGCACCACAGGACAAATCCTAAATGTCCTATCAGCATCAAAAGGAGCTGCTATTGTTTTTCTACCTATTGTACTCTTCAAAGCATTTGTCCTTCCTGAAAGCTGCCATGCTGTGATGCTCTGTGGAGGTGTTTTCTCACACTACACTGTGAAATAAGCACAAGGCACAATTGTGACCTCTCAGGATAAATAAACAGTGAGGGGGAAAATAATTCAGGAAGAAGAACCCTGCAGTGCTGAACGTGTTCCTTTTCAGATGAAATTGGCAATGAAGAATGACGCATGAATATGGAGAAAACAGTTGGGACTCTGTTTCCTGATCACACAGAGTTTCTGTGCTGTGCAGCTGGTTTGTGTGTACTAATGTACAAAGGTTTAAAGTGGTTTTGGGAAGGCAAAGAAAAACCAGAGAGTTAAAGTTGTAAAACAAGCTTTACAGGAGGTCCACAAAATCTCTCACATATATTACTAAGCCGCTACTATCAGCAGTGCTTTACCCATTCTAAGATTAGCCCTTCCTTTGCTGATGAACAGAAAACTAATATAAGAATGAGAAACAAGGTTAATATTTGGGATTGGAACTTAAGGCTCCAGCCCTAAACTGTTCTTGTGTTTTACTTTCCTTTTCCTGTTCAGTTCTGTTTGCTTCTGCTTGCTTGTGGTTTGCAGTTTACAAAAATGGGGCAGCTTTTCTGCCTTCTTTAGTAAGGAATTGAACAGTTAGTTTATTGCACTGGGCCCTGCCCAGCTGAGGAAATGATAAAGGAAGAGCTGGTTGTCAAGGAGGCAGACAGAATTTTATTGAAGCAATATATGAATTCATGTACCTCAATAATCCCAATTAAATGTCTTTTTTCTAATATGGTATTACAGAGACTGTCTCTGCCAGTAGTCCACTGAATCAGGACATTTCAACAGTGAAAGCAAGCCTTGCAATATCTTAATTACATAGTTCAGGGATGCAAATTCAACTGGCCTGACCTGGCTGGGTGCATTTCATTCTACAGAATCAGTGGCTTCCTCTTATAGACCAATCACTTCCTTATTCCCCTATTTTGACACCACAGAGGTAACCTTAGTGCGTAATTGCTTATGCTTTGGCAGAGCCATTATGAAACATTAGTAAATAGGCACTTTATAAGATGCAGCATGTGCTTGCATTAGCCTGGTCTTTTCATTCATCAGTGAACAAAATTGTTCTCAGATAGTCTGTTGCTAAATGCTAAAGCTAAATGCTATTCTCCTGTAAGAAATTTTGTTAATGGAGAGATTTAAAGAACACTGTAAAACTCATCCGATTTCAAGAACGGTGTTTCCACACAGAAAGCACTGCTTACCTTTTGTAGAAGTGGAATGTCCCTGCACCACTTTCATGAACACATGGTTGGTGCTTGTCAGATACGAAAGAACCAACCTGCTACTTACTCTGAAATGCAAAATTAATTCTAGCTTCTTTCCCCCTCTTCAAAAGATAGTTGCAGCTTCCAACATTATACAGGCAGATGTCTGCTGGCACAATGGGATGCTTTTACCTTTGGTAAAATGGGGAGATCTCAAACACCCCCAAATAAGCCTTTTGGTGCAGCAATACTCACTTATAATATCCATTCTGACCACAAAAACATTTTTTCTTTCTTATGACCTTCACACATCACACCCCTTCACACAGGGTTTCATGCACTGACAAAAAGAAACAGAAACGTTCTCTCTAAGTACACTTTAAATTCAGTATGCAAAAGATACCATTCATTTCAATTAACATTACAAGGCTATGCATGTTTTCTCAGAAGTAATTCCCAGTGCAGCCTAAAATGCGATATTACCTTTATAAATCATTGAGTGCTGTTAGCTAATCTTAAAAGTCACCAATAAAAACCTGCTACCTGCAACTTTTGTGGAGTTTATTTTCCATATTTAGTTTAAGTCACTTGCACCATGTCTTTAAAAATGAAACATTTCTTAAGGCTACCTATGGCAATAAAAACAACAGACCAATAGTTGCTCAGAAGAGCGCGGGACTGGGACTCAGGCCATCTGGTTTTTAGTCCCTGCTCTGCCATGGAATCAGCTAAGTGACTTTGGGCCAGTCAAAGACGCTCAGCCCTACCTACCTCACTGGGTTGTGGCTGTGGAGATAAGACTGAGAGCAGCCAGAGGAGAATGTTGTAAGCCACTTTGAGTTCTTAAAAGGAGGAGGGGATAGAAATCAAATAAATAAATAAAAGAGCATAAGAATGAATGACTTTAAGGGCACAAATGCTTCTTTTAATCAGCCTCTCAGAATTCTCAAAATTTGACACCAGGAAAGGGGTTGAAAATAAGATGGACAGTATCATAAAGCCTTTATATGAAAGCATGATGTGGCCATATTGGTCAGTGACCATCATCCAGTATAAGAGAAAAAAGAGAGGATAGCATAGATCTGGAAAAGTTCCAGAAAAGGGCCTGCCCTGAAAACAATGACCCAGCCGTAGGTCTTTCCAAAGACTTCCAGAATGAAGAATAACTACAAAAATTCTTTTTCTTACTTTGCAGTCATCTCATGTACCTTCAATAACCCTTTAAGTCATTTGTCCTCAAACAGCATCTGTCTCCCTGCTGGTTTCCTGCTTCTCAAGTAAAGAAAAGGCTTTGTCTTTATCTTTTGAGCAATATGCTCTTCAATTATTATTATTATTTTGCTTATCTAACCGTCAAATTCAATTTGTTTTGCCAAAGTCTGTCCACAGTTTTGTTCTCATTTTAGTAAGACTTCGAAGAGGGTTTTTTGTTTGTTTTTTAAGGACCCTTGAGGGCGTCTTTTAGCTTTGTCAGCTCTGCTCATTAACCATCCTGGTTCACCCAACTGAACATGCTAAATTAAGAAAAGCACCAGGGATGTTTGTTATATGTAAGTTCTATTGAAACATCTGTATTAGTAGCTTATCCCATGCTACTTCCCTGAATTTTTCTGAATGAAAATACAAAGTCAAAAAGGGAGAAAATTCCCAGAATGCTGCTTTCCAAAGTTTATGATAAATCATAATTACAACATATTTGGAACAAAAGCCCTTCTTAAAGGGAGATATGAAGTCTATGAAAAAGAATGTACATATTCTACTTCATAGTCTAATTCTGTAAGTATATATTTACTTGGAAGCACATCCAACTTTGTTCCTTGAAACTTAGATGCTTCCTGGTGACTCATCCTGCAATTGCCTGCCTCAAACATGGAATGTTGCTCGGAAATGGTTCAAAAGACATTTCTCTTTTGTTTTTCTCCCATGTTTTCATACCATTTCTTCCATCACATGTTTTCCCACCACTACTCCTTCCACTTCATACAAAAATTTATTAAGAAGGAAACGACTGATGAGCTACACAATGCAGCATAAGTAGCTACCCATGTTCCCTAGTACAAGACTAGTGAGAATGTTTTAGGTGTAAGACCAAATTGTCCATTACCAGGCCCACTGTGGGCCAGATAATGTTAGTAGCCCTAACATTATGGAAGTCAAGGAAGATCTGCAAGCCAAATGGGAAATGATTTAGGCTAGTTTAGGCCCATGGAATGGATGTCTCCCATCTCTATTCTAGTGAGTATAGGATAGCAGCCAAAACCTTAATAACTTTATTATTGCCCCTGCTCCTCTGTAAAAAAAGATTTTTTAAAAAAAATCAATCTATGAAATTTCTTTTTTCAAGTAGGATGAACCTAGTAATATTGCTTAATATAACATCAACTTAATAAAGCAAGTGGATTAAACTATGAAAAACCACTGCTTAGGTTGGTTATCTTCTGGCTTGCACTCACAAATCTGACAGCACTTTTTAGAACACTCCCAAGCCTGAAGAGTGGATAGGCAATTCCCTGTTACTGAAGCAAGAGCTAGAAGACAAGGCCTGAATTATAGCCTACAGATATAAGCAGCTCCTCAGAGTCAATCACTCCAATGCAAATGGGGCAATCTGCACAGTATATGTTAAAACACACTTCTCTGGTAGCTTTACTTCAGACAAGCAAAACACAAAAGTCACATGCACTGAGCTGAAGATTACTACACCTCATCTCTCTGCTGATACAAAAGAGGTCTCTAAACACCCATCTCTTGAGTTAGATAGAAGAATACAATCCAACAGAGAGCAAACAGATCTTGTTTCCTTTAATGGGAACATTAGACTAATAGGAAAGTCATGAAGTCCTGGGGAGAGGATGACCACTGCAACAAGAGCAGCAGAAAGACTGAGGAGAATAAAGACCAAACAGATGTTTGGAATTTGCAGTAAGGAGGTCGTGAGTTTTGATTGAGTTCTACTGTGCAAACCAGACTGAAAGCTCAGGAGTAGAACTGGCTATAACTTGTAACTGTTTTCCTAATAAAACTTCATTTGGCTTGAGTAGAACTGGAAGAGACAGTTGAGACAGCAAGAGTAAGCAGCACAGGCTATAATGTTGGATGCAAAGGATGCAGGGGAGAAGGCGCAAGAGCTGGAGAATTTGGGTGAGTTTCTGAGAATAGGGAAGAGTGGCAGCTTTGAACACAACAGGATGAGGGCCAGACAAGAGAAACTCTGTGATTATGTAGTGAAGAGGAAGGGGTGGAGTCCAGGAAGCATGAGGTAGGGTTAGATGAGGACAGCAAGATGCAGGAGACAAAGGAAAGGAAGGTGAGCAAGACAAGACCATCAGATGCCATCAAGTGAGTGATACCAATGTCTATGCAGGAGAAGAATACTTGCAAACAGTTTGTTACATGCAAAAGGGTTGCTGGGAAAAGGACTGTTCCCTGTAATTATATGCTACTGAATATATGTTAAGGCCTGCTCATTTAAATTCAGTAGATGTGGTAACTTTTCAGACCAAATGTTTCAGAGGGGGTAGACTGCCACGTGGTAGTCTGTGGCAGTAAAACCAACAAAAAGACCCATAACACCTTAAAGGCGAACAAATTTATTACGGCATTACTCAACCAAAATTTATAATTACTTTCCAACATTAAAGCAAATTTAATATTTATTTTTTATGGAGTAGAAAATTATACACACATTAATCTAAAGTTTCTTTGCCCCTACTTGTTTTTCTTACAGTGCAATAAGAGACTAGAAACAGAAACATAAATATAATTATATTTTATTAGATAATGTATCTAAAATACATTTTTTTTTAATTCTGGCAATATCTTAAATGGTACAGTACTCTGAATTATATCTATGGTATCAGCAATTTTACATAGAATAGCATTTCATTTATGTCAGTTGGAATTTCATAATTAAAAATAGAATACACTAACATTAAGACAATTCAGATTTATGGCTAAAAATGTAAAATAATTAAAATATTAAAATATATATCCTTCAAACTTTTTAAAAGCTAAAACATTGACTCTTCAATATTAACGTTGCATTTCAGTGTCTATGTTGATGCAACATATTATCCTAAATCAGACATAAATCAGGCTTGCATTCCTGTGCTTCCATGAAAGATTCAAGTTACTGAGTACACATAACCTCATATGTTATATAAGGTTATTTTTTTCTGTTAAAATGGCTTATTTTTCTGTGGCTTGTCATCCTATCACTTGGCAAAGCATCAAAAGAGAATATCCTATGCAACAGCAGCACCCAAATCACCACAATACTCATCAAGCATCACAGCATCAGTCTGTTCCCCGCCCTTTTCCCAGCATACACACCCACACTGCAATCAGTCAGCTTTCCTCTTGTTTTATGGCCTTTTGCATTTCATCATTAGGAACTTATTATAAGAAGATGAAAGGAAGAAGAGAGAGCACTAGAAGAACAAAAGAAGATGTTGCCAGTGCATGTGTGGCATTAGTTTGATTTGTGCTTAGCAGAAAGAACTCAGCCTTCAAGAACAGAGCAACATTTAATTGACACAGACTATTGGAATGAGACTCTAACTTCTCGGTTCTTCAGGGGCTGACAAGGACGCCAGTTGTCCACCATGCAGCACTGGGGCTCATTCTCATCGTTGAAGCAAAGACAACGGAGTTTGTTCATCTGGAGGGGGACAAAGAGAAGTAATCTGTATTTCTCAGTTTCTATCCCATTACCTATCAAAGTACTAACTGCTGGTAAATCAGCATTTACAATGGAGAAAGAGTATACGAGGAAAGTCTCAAACACATCTTCCAGAACATTACTCCCCGAACTAGAAAGCATTCCCATGGGGATCCTAATAAGCAAAGCAAAATCAAGAGATGGTTTAATCATGGATCTTTATACCTGGTTTTGTCCTTATTTGTCACATATTAAAACATACTACTGTAGCTTGAGTGGCACTGTATTTTCTCGTGGTAAGCTGTAGTTCCAGTGAAGACATCTTACCATTCTTGAAAATAACCCACAGAGAGACTAATGTTTTCAAGATAAATGACATTTTGCAGCAAAAGGTTTTACCTGTTCTTTGCTGACAGTTACGGGCTCCTTCAGAACAATCCAGGTGACGCATTCAAGCAAGGGTGGAGTGGTCAGTGATCCTGGATAGGTCCAGAAATCACGAGAGGCAGGAAGCAGACCAGTGGGATCAAAGTTTGTGAAAGCAGCCTGTTTGCCCTAGAACATATTTTTAAAGTCTGATAAAATAATCCAGCATGAACATTGAAGGTATGTACACACAACTGGCAAGTGAATATGTAATCTGCAAGGGAGGTTCCACACTGCTTGCCAAAAGTAAAGTATTCACTCTTAAATGAAAACTTTCACAGTGTGATCCAGTGTATACAGAAGGCCTGGAGCTCAGTGGCACAGCATATACTGTGCACACAGAAGGTCCCAGCTTCAAAGCCCAGTTTCTCCAGGTAGAGCCAGAAAAATATAGCCTGAAACCCTGAAGATATGTTGTCAATCATTCTCAGTAATGCTGGTCTAGATGATCCAAGGCCTCAATATAAGGCAGGTTCTTATGTTCCTATATATACTTGTGCCCAAATTCCATTAAGCTCAGTGGGGTTTACCCCCGAATAAGTGCATATATGATTGCAGTCTACATTTTTAAAAAGTACACAGGTACTGGAGATTGGAGTCGAAATGAAGGAAGAACTGACAGTGATTGAAATATGCTCCTGATGCATTTAAAAGCTGTATGGTAATGGCTGGTTTTGTAAGTGCAGTTTCTCTTTTCACTGCCACAATGAAATCTGCACCTGCTGAGCTTCTACACTGCATGTATGCAGCTTGAGATCAAAGCCTGTCATAAACAGTTGGCTGACTCTTAACCTGGACTGCAAATGGGATGATAACATTTCAAATGAAAGCAAAACTAGTGAAGGGAAATGCATCCCCCTCCTAAAAGTTAGGGGACAATGAAAATCAACTGAACAAGAGCAGCAGGTATGTCTTTTTCTTCCTCCATTTGTCAAGGGTACCAAGTGAGTTAAGATTAATTTCCCTCAAAATAGTTACAAAACTGAAATAAAGTTGAAAGCAGTGTACCAGGTTTCTATGTTTTGAATATAGGCGTTTTACTGGCAAAAGATGATTATCCAGCTGAAACATGTGGAGTGAGAAGCTAAAAGCAATTCTCTTGTAGTACCCCTACAATTATGTTCTTTGAAAGCAGAATAGAGAAACCTGCAGTGCAATCATTCTTGGCTGGCAAGGAGACAGAAGCACTACCTTGTGTTTAATGGTGTCCAGGGCATCAACAACTTTCTGTATTCCGGGACAGGCACTTCCTACCTGTAATATAAAAGACAAGTATGCATGTACTTACATTGACTGATTGCATGTCTCGGCACCCCATTTCTTAGGAGTTTATTTCAAGAAATAACATAATACAAGCATTGTTTGGAAAGCCCACTGTTTTACCACCTATCATATTCAGTGCCAAGGAAGAGTGGTGTGTTTCAATCATTTGCCACTTCTACAGTGATGACTGAGTCCCTGGCCATGGCTTTGGAAATACAAGGTGGAAATTCAGGTATACGCGCATCCTGCAGATCTGACAAAAAGTACTATCCTAGGCTGCTCCCGCAGTCCTAAAATAATCATGGGAATGAGCTGCAGCACTAATTTCCAAAATGGAGCAGTCAGTGGAGCTGCCTTCTGACTTGTCCCATTCCAGAAACTAGTATTGCTGCTTGTTTCTGGTTTTTAAAGGATTGCACATTTTGCTGGTGCAAGAATTGCTGGTACCTGTTGCACCAGTGAATCTTTCTGTTAGCGCAGCAGCAGGACAGAATACTGCCCATAGTCTGTGCATGTGTATGCCTAACAGCAAACCATTGGGCAGGAAGGTGTTCTGTGAGTTAGGATTAGGGCCTCAATCATTTATAGTTATAAAGGTTTATCAGTCAAAATTGGACTGAATTATTTGATTCTCCAGTAGCATGTGGTTGGGCTCACTTGCATGAGTCATTTGGACTTATTTACTCTGCCAACACCTTTCTGAAGAGTATCTAATCTTAAAGCATTGGGCTGATTGGTTTGTAATGTTTGCTAAGAGACAACAGCCCTGAAGGTTGGTCTACGTGGCATTCTGGGACCTTCCAACTATGTAATTCAGTGATTTTTTTTCTTTAACTTGAACCATTCCCACAGGTAGACAAATGTCTAAATTGAATGGCACACAGTATCACAAAACCACTTTGAGAGACTGTGCTCAGTAATTCACCTTCCTGTGTACTATGTCACCTTGGGGAAAAAAGTTCTGCAAATTCATGATCGGGTTGAAAGAGGGAAAAAAGGCACTAACCTTCAAAAACACACCCACAACTGCCAGGCCATCAGGATGTTTCACAGCTTCAGTGAAACTACTATACTTTGTGTTCCAGTGAACCAAATGAAGCTGAAACCAAGAGAAAAGCAATAAGCATATTAAAGAGACGTTGTTTCACTCTTGATAAATCATATATTAAACATGAACAAGACATAGTCCCTTTTCTACAGAGACATTAAAAGAAAGAATTGCTAAGAACTTGTCTGAGTATTGGTTTTCTTTGCTATGCATTAAGAAATGCAAATATTGTGCAGTGCTCCCACACTGGCTTTTCGTGCCTATTTAAACAACTGTCCTGTAGAGGATGTTATACAAATTCTGATGCTCTTAAGCAGTAGCTTTGCCTGAATACAAACTTTGGAGTTTGGCCTGATAAAAATAGATCTGGTTATATCTTATATATTTCTTCATTTCAGAAAGCATGGGCCATCTAGATTGAAACAAGAAAGGGACAGAACTGAAATTAGTATCCATGCTTGTACCACCAATTTGCTAGGTTTTGTACCATTTTATAGTTAGAACAGAATAAAATACAAAAATGTAAAGCTTTAAAAAACATATTAGTATGTAAAACCAACACAATAAAAGTATAAAAGCCAGCATGGTGGCATACAGTATAAAATCAAGCTAATGTAATTAGATCTGCCATAAAAGAACTGGAGTCATCTGGCTGATTGCCCCTCCTTGCTTCTGGGATGAGGACCACCCTAGACAATCTCAGTGTGGAAAAAGCCTTGTATGGCAGGAGCTCATGTGCTAAAGAAAAGTTTGTTGTGTGAACAATGCTAGATGTTACCAAATATAAGATCATTTGGTTTGATGGAACAGGCAACCTGGTGGCCTTCTGATATTTTGGACCAGAACTTGATTGACTGATATGTTACAACTCCCAATGACTGATTGATATGATGTTAGGTTTGTTAAGAAAGCTTAAAAACTGGTTTTACCTCCGCATCGTATTTCACTCCATCCACAGTGTGTTCAGAGCCTTGGCCTTCACAGGATCCCCAGTGAATGTGGAACTGAATAAGCTTGTAAGTTCCCTCAATGGGGCCACCTTTCAGCACTGAAAGCAAAAACAGTGATATTTTAAATTAATCCATGTACAGAAACTTAAAATTAAGTGAGATCCTAGATCCACTAAATAAAATCAAAGGATTGGATTCGAATTAGCACTTTTGTTTGTGGAAGGTCTTCTGTCATTTATAAAAAGCACCGAGATTCACTAGAGGCTTCACCCAGGGAGGAAGCTGACAGGCAGGCAACCTGAAAATTCCACCTTCCCTTTGAGTTTGCTGTTATGCTGCTCAGACCTTCCCAGCTTTTTAGGAGGGCCAGGTGACAACAGTGGGGAGGGGAAAGATGATGATTGACTCCCCAAGAGCTACTGCAGTGGAAACTGGATTCCACTAAATATTACTCTGGATCCAGCCCAGTATCTGCTGCTCAGGCACCGTCATGCTAATCTGAACTGTGTTTTTAAACTCAACTCTGTTTTTGGATATGATTGCACTACTGCTACTGCCATCTTAAGCAAGAAGACAAAGAAGAAACTGTATGAAAAATAGGACATAGATGTTCAGTGTTTAATTTGGAATGGAAATACAAAGAGTGCAAAGAGGCAAGGTGCTTTATAGAGAATGTGTTGAATGTAACACACAGTGCGATGACAAACCACTTAGAATTTGTCTTTGCCAAGTCAGAGGTTCATTGGTGGTCTATTCACATAGACACATAGTTCCCAATTCAGAGAAAGCCACATTTAATACACTGAAATTATTGATATATGCTGCCCAATCCTATATGTTTATTTGGAAGCAAGTTCTATTGAGTTGAACAATTTTCACTTCCAACAGTTCTAATGCACAGGATCAAATATTTACATTAGTTACAAAGTATATCCCATTGATTTAACTGAAGCACACCTGATTTAGCTAGGATTAGGACAAAACCTGTTTCCTGACTTCTGCAACTAGCAATACAGGCATTATAACATTCAACGAATTAGGCATGCAGTTGTGTTTTAGTGACATACTTATATGTGAAAGATGACAATTTAATATCCCTACTTAGACAAATTTGCTTTTCTAATGGAAAATATGAGGAAAATAATCTTCTTAAAGGCGTATGTTAAATTTTCTTTGCCATGGTTACAAGAATGATCCACAAACTATGTAGCTCTCATCTTACTCAAAATCAATAGCAGATTTCCCATTACTTCATTTGGTTCAGGACTGTAATTTAACAAAATTAATCCTGATCTTCCTGTGACGTACTGACATGTCTCAACCAATCAGTACAGAAGTGTTCAGGGAAGCATAACTAAGCTATCTTCCCAAATCAATCTGCAGTTGTTTCTTTAAGAAGTTTTGTGAAAGTTTATTAAAGAATGCAACTTTTACACACAAATAGAGTCTGTGGTTCTAAAAGTCCATGTGAATTGATTTGATAGAGAGTAATATGTTAAAATAAAGCAATTTTATTATTATGGATGAAACAAGATTAACACAGTTACTCAAGAACCCATGGGACAAATGGCAACATTCCTTAGATTTACAGCATCTTGATAGTGCCAAAGCTAATTTTAGCTAATTCATTGGCTAATTTATTTTGTAACCATTAATAGATTTGTTGTCTGAAATGCCTGAAGTACTGCATGAAAACCAGGATATACTCCTCTTCTTTCTCCTTACTCCCCTGGCTCTGCTTGTATCACATACAGAGGGTATTAATGCCTTCCAGGCTTTGGAATTCTAAACTCTTTGCCAGAAGATTCAAATTCAGGATCTGTATCTGAACTCCTGGACATGAGTTTGATTGTTTTCAATGGATTAAACAAGATCTTAGGTTGTTAATCCAATTTTAAATGCAACATTCATAGACATATACTCATAAGACTGCTGAAGGGCAGTTCACATGCCTTACAGATCATTTGGTTGATCTCTTATCATTTGATCAATCCATTTTGAGTATGTGGCTTGTCTCTATTAACTAATGCTGTGTTTGAGTTGTTATGAACATTCAGATACACTGGTCAGTTTATAAGCTTTTATAATCTTTCATAAATGAACATCCTCAAAGGATGCACATGCATGGGACTGTAGCTGAACTAGAAAGCAACACAGAGGCAAGGCATCGAGGAATATAATGCTCTCAACCCAATGCACCTTGGCACTTCCATAAATTAGAACCAAAGAACTTAAGAATATATGTGAATATTGTAGTGAGAGGTAGAAAACACAGCCAGAGTGGAGTTCTGCTTGTTGAAGAAACTTTTCCTCATGTGTGTCTTTTGTAAATATGTATATATGCATGGCCAGAAATTGCTCTTAGAAAATGAAAAATAAATACCCCCCCACACACACACACACATGTCCCATGTCTGAATGCACTGTGCTACTGCTGACATGAGACGATTAATAAGGATTTTAAAGGATTAGACCTGTTGTCCTTGGCTAACCCATAGGCCATTGTTGAGTTCAGGCAGGGTGAGTTGTAATCGCTGTCTTGCAGCCTGACACACTAAGCAAAATGTCATATTTTGGGGAGGTTTTTTTAAAAAAAATTATCTCTTCCAACCATGCTTGCTATATTTGGAGAAACACTTCAGTCGAAATGAGCATACAGAGCACCTCAGTTTCTGAACCATTACCCAGGCTCCCTGGTTCAAATCATATAGGATGAGTTAGGTCACGGTTATCTTTCACCCTAAAAAACATTTTAACAATTTGTTCTGATAAACAACAGCCAGTTTCCATGGAAGAAGTCAGCTGGGGACTCTGATACTACCAGAAGTTTGAAGATAACCATTAAAAATATACCTAACTTCACTGAAACGGCCCTTACTTACCAATGTCCTTTAATAACTTGCCCTAAATGAACTCCTTGGCCAGAGCCTAGAAAACTGAAGAAAACCAACTTCTATTTAAAGACACTTGGGTACCCAAAGTCCTTGTATAATATAGGTAATTTGGGGTTATTCATAGGTCTTACTTTCATACAATGTGTGTTATGTGTACTGTGCATATGGTGAGAATTAATTACCCATAGTTTTCTGATGCATCTACACATAAATTCAATCTATATGTCGTCTGCCTACAAAAAAGTGATAATTTTTATTAAAAAAATTGTGAGGCAATCCTAATAAATTTTAAGAGTTTACACATATAGCTTCATGAGTAAATAAGTACACACATGCATATACCACTCATCATTATATATGCTGTTCCTAAGAAGGAAAGTTAAGGAGAGAATGAAGAACTGTATGATAGAAATGAGGCTTGCAATTTGATCGTTAGATATAATAGCAAACTATGCATTCTGAGGAAAGCAGAGACAAAGGGGAAAATCCTGTGGAAAATCTTGCTTTTTAAAGGTAGGGACATTTCCTCCTATGCCCCCTCCCTCCTCAATAAGGCATAATTCATATGATAGAAGTCTCCATATTCACTTATTTCTGTCTGATGAAAAAAATCAAAAACACCCTGAGAAAGTGTCCTCATGCAAGGGTGGTCTCCTTGGAGTTGACGCCCATAGGCTATATCAAAAAGTTCAGCCAGGGTGAGGCTTAACTGCTGTCAAATTTTAATACATATTTTTGTAAGATGTTTGGGGAGTTGTTCTATAATTATCGAGTTATCACTTCAAAACTTCTGCCTTATCAAGGTTTCCAACTGCCTATGTTAAGGCTCAGAGGAGGAGTCCTTAAGTGGCAACTATATTTTGTCTTCATCCTTGGATGTTCTGTGTATATGTTTGCTAAATGTATTTTTAAATAAAATTACAAAGCAAATAATTAATTAAAATGCATTCATTATTAGAATGAGAAAGAAAATGCTTCAATAAGTATTAATTTAGCTTGCACAAGTTTTAGATAAATTAATGCATAAAAATACTACTTCAACCTGCATAATCCTTTTATATGAGATGCAGGCACTCCCTACAGACTTATGTGGGCTTTTCAGAACATGATGTGCATTTTCATTTTTATGATGTGCATTTTGACAACCTTTATGGTGTTTAAAGGTGATACCAATGTCTATTCAGGAGAAGAGATACTTACAAACAGTTTGTTACATGCAAAAAGGTTGTTGGGAACATGACTGTTCCCTGTAATTATATGCTACTACATACATGTTAAGGCCTGCTCATTTAAATTCAGTAGACATGGCAACTTTTCAGACCAAATATTTCAGAGGGTGTATCCATGGTAATCTGTGGCAGCCAAACCAACCAAATGGCTTGTAGCCACCTCTAAGCTAGCACATGTATTATGGCATTATCTTGCCAGCCTTTCCGGCGCTGCCAAACTCCTCATAGGCTTTTGAAACCAAAATGTGTAATTATTTCCCAGTATTAATGCAATTTCAATATTTATTACTTTTATGGTGTAGCAAATTGTGCACAAATTGATGTAAAATTTCTTTGTCCCTACTCGGTTTTCTTACAGTGCAGTAAGAGACTAGAAAAAGAAACATAAATATGACTATATTATAGAATGTATCTAAAGTAGATTATTAATTTCTTTTTAAAATTATGCCATTATTTTAAATGGTGTATCACTCTGAATTATTACATTGCATTTTATCATATCTTTCTTCCTCTTGCAAGAAGTACAAGGCATTTTACAAGGTTTCTCTTGTCTCCATTCTGTCCTCACAACAACACACCTCTGAGGTGGGTTAAGTGCAGAGGTAGTGACTGATCCAAAGTCACCCAGTGGGGGTTATGGTTGTGAAGAGACAACACTGGCTCCCACTTTTTCCCACATGTGAACATGCTAATTTTTCTGTGGTTTATCATCCTATCCCTTGACAAAGCATAAGAGAAGAATACCCTATGCAACAGCAGCACCCAAATCACCACAATATTCATCAAGCATCACAGCATCAGTGATCTTCACAGCATCTTCACAGAATACACACCCACAGTGCAATCAGTCACCTTTCCTCTTGATTTATGGCCTTTTGCTTTTGATCATTAGGAACTTATTAAGATAACGATAGAAAGACAAGTAAGCACTAGGAGAATGAAAGAAGTTGTTGCCAGTGCATGTGTAGCATTAGT